GATTTTTAAATCTCGTAAATAAGAATCGCAACGTACAATATTCAAATCGCGTGAATAAGAATCGCAACACGCAAATATGAAAAGCTATGTTTGATATTAAAATCGTGTGAATAAGAATCGAGATATTAGCAGATTCCAGGCTTGGGACCTCTGAAAGGCTTGTCAGAAGCAGCGTCGTTTGAACTACGAAAATCGGATCCATCTGGAGGGCGGGTAAAAAATTCAGAAAATCTTATCTGCTGCGTGTAAAGGGGAGAAAATAGGTAAAATAAGTAAAAATGAGAAAGGATTGGTAGCTATGTAGTTTGAATTTTCTGTTCCTTTTTGAAAATCGGTGAATTTTCTGAAAAAGCAGAATACTAATTTAAAAAAATGAAATTTTTAGAAAATCTGAATTTTTGATAAAAAAGCTGAAATTTAAGAGATAAAAGTGAAAAAAGCGGAAATCCGCTAAAAAACGGAAAAATCTCATCCCTGCATTATTTATTACAGCTTGTAGGATTTCTCACCGTAGGCTCCTTCTATTTAAGGATGTGTGTTTTTTCTCCTTTCAAGCCAAATTAGAATAGGGAAAATGAGTCCATTTGGCGCCCTTTTTGCAAATAATGTGCCCTTTTTGCAAATAATGTGATGCCTCACTCACCATACCATGGTTACGTCAACTACTATGTGGCATGCAAGCATTCAGATTCATTTGAATGCCTTTAAAAATAAAATCCTAGTTATGGTTATGTGGTCACAAGTTCATTATTCCTATATTATGGTTTCAGCATGAATGTACAGCAAATCTGAAATCTATGATATCAAGATGAAATTCCATGTAGATTTTTTTTTTTTTTTAGGTTGGTGAATATTGTAATTAAAAAGAATTATTTTCAAATGTTTTTATCAGACTAATTTGGTAGAAATTAGCATAACAATACTTAGAAAAGAGAAAAATAACAGGTGACAAATAAAATAATGATTTAAAAAATATATATATTTAATTAAAAGTTTTAAATAGTGATTCCATAAGATTTTGGAACCTATGTGTCTTCAGGACCCAGAAAATATGAATTCCCAATTTCTTTTTTTTTACTAGGAGAAAGTCCTAATTTAAAATATATATATATATATATAAATCATTTTCAACAGCCTAAATTTTCAAAAGTGTCTTTGTAAATTTCCTTAATTTCAATTGAAATAAAATATATTTGCACACTCAATGATGCTTCAAAAATCAAAAAAGAGATGGGGGAAAAAAAGATTGAAAAATGATGTGTAAGCAGAAGATTTCTCCATACATTAGTCTATGTGTGTGTTTATAAGGATCTATTGATAGACAAAAAACAAACAATTTCAAAACGTGAAAAGAATTATATTAGAAATTAAGGTTTTTAATTAGTCTCATGGAAAACCCATTTAGAAATTGAAGAATATAAATTTGAGGCTTTTGACAATTTCGGTTACTTGGGTACTGCAATCAACAACAGGAACACAACGGAGAATTACTAAAGACAATAGACGTTTCAATGGAATTCAAAAATACATAAAATCTAATGTAATTCGAAGAAAAACAAAAGTTTTATTCTGTAAATCTCTTTTAAGATCCATTCTAGCATATACTTGTGACCCTACCTTATACGGAAGAGGCTTTGTTGGGTACCTTTGAGAGAAAAGTCTTGAGAAGTATTTTTGGAGAAATTCAAAAAAATGGTATGTGGCTTAGAAGATCAAATCTAGCACTCATATCAAATCAAATCTTATCACTCATATCAAATCTAGCACGACAAAGAATAAAATGGGCAGGTCACTATATCAGACTGGACGAAGACCGTACCACAAAAAAAGTTTTAACGCCAGACCAGTTGGCACACGAAAAAGAGGCAGGCTGAATTTGAGATGGACAGATGGCCTAGAAAAAGACCTTTTGGTTTTAAAAACTAAAAACTAGAAAACACTTGCAAGAAAAAGTTAGCCTAGATAAATCTTCTTGAGAAAGCAAAGCCCCACCCTGGGCTTTTGAGCCATTGATGATGATGATGTCTCATGGCAAAGCAGCAATGAAATTTGAAGAATTATTTCTCATAATTATTTTTATTCTCTCTTTCTGCTATAAATACAGAATTTGTTTTTTATTTTTTAAAAAAGTTTGGGTTTAATCTGCCTATGTACTATCTTTTTATTCTCCTTGATGGAGAGTGATGGAAAATGTTTTTTCGCACCCTCTCTATGTTTTTTTTTTTTTTAATTTTTCTTTTGCATATTTGACACACACAAGCAGAATCGCTATTTTAGCAAAATAAAAACCAATTTATATGTAACACCATCACATAGACATGCTAAGATGAATAATATTATGTAAGCAAGGAACAAGTTAATAAAATGAATTTACCTTGATTCTTCTAAAGAATGTTGAACAGTTAAGATACTAGGATGGCGTAAACGAGTTAAATGAGCTATGCCTTTTTTCAAAATACCCAAAATCAGTTCTTTATCTTGCCTTGAGTATTTATCCAGTAGCTTTTTCTCGAGAATAAATACAGAACCCTCCTAATGTTAAGAATAAAAAAAAATAATAATTAAGCATCGTTGTTTTTGGTGAATAAGTCGATCGCCCTTTAACCCTCCAAATGGAGGCTTTAGGGTGCATTAGGTCTATCTTGATTGTTGAATTCCCATTTTTTTTAATTTTTTTAAACAAATACAAAACTCTCAAAATAGACAAACAAAAAAAATTTTCTTTTAATGATTTAAAAAAAAAAAAAATTATGTTTTCGTTCTTTTGCCTATTTTTGATTTTGAAATATAATTTACAAATATAATAAATAAACTCTTTAGAACATGGTGGGGGAGTACTGTAGTTGTAGATACACTACAGCACTCCCCCGCCAGAATCATATCCATTACAGAATTCGATTAACAGATACCTCTAGTTGATTCACTACTGTTTATTTTGTGAGAAATCTGAAAAAACTGTATTAAGATCACCGTACTTTTGAGTGCTGATCGCGAGAGCTGTATTAAGTTCACGTTTGTGATCGCTTCCGTGTTGCCTTTAGCAGTCCAGTGTACACGTCGTACGCTGTGTGTGATCGAGACTGAGAAACAACAGCGTGAGGAGGACAATGTCGCAGTCACAAGTAGCATTTCAATGTGGACTATCCTTTGAAGTAGGCATGTTCAGATTGAAGTGGGCGTTACTATCAAAATAAGAGTGTTCCCATCACGTCTGAGTCACCAACATGGGGAGAGTTGTTATCAATGAAAAGGTACTCAACATAGAATCGAGTTAACGAGTCTTACATACTAGGGAATTTGAATTGTATTTCTGTAGTGGTAGATACACTACAATGTAATATATTTTGTTCTTTCACTCTCAGATAATGATGATTTGCATTCTGGTGTTTCAGTTCTAAAGAATTGTTGATAATTGGATACTTCGTAGAATATTAACTTAGCTTTCAAAAAAACTTTTGAGCTAAATAATTCTTCATTTTGAAGCATAAAAGAATATTGATGCAAACATCAACATCAAATCAAATACATCAAATTATAAGTAATATACATCAAATTATAAATAATTATTAATAATATTAATTATTATATTATAGTAATTATAAGTAATAAAGTAATGTAGTAAAGTGTAACCTGCCAAGTTGATCACCCTTGTCAGAGAACCCTTAGTATTAAAAATCCAATTTACCCTAAATCATAAAAATCTAAGAGAAATTCTTACAACCTGACCACTAGTTTTAGCTAGACAAAAGAAAAAACTTTCTGTGAACACAAAATTTCAAACTTAAAAACTTTCTGCAAGCAATTGATTAACTCTTTTAACTAGTTTTAACCGTTTTGTTGCCACCTCATTTTAGCAAAATTTAATTCAAAATTAGTTTGTTTTTTTTTAAAGATTTAATTTTTATAAATTTCTATATTGATTCATACCACAGAGATAAATTTGGCAAAAAAGCAAAAAACAGAAATTTAAAAATGCTGTTGTCAATTTAACCTGGACAGACCCCTGAACTAGTATCAAAATTTGAAGATTAATAAGAAGATTATATAATAAATAATGATTGATGTTAGCATAAATTCAAATTTAAAAAAATAGGATAGAGAATTCCTATCTTTCATATTGGTTTGAGTGTATGTGCCTCTTATAATAGTCACTGTACCATTCAGCTTTTACTGCACATAAAATTTTGCATTTTCTTATACTTTCTATCTAGATTAGATTATAAAAAATTGCCAAAATAAGAGGAGCAATCTACAAATAAATTATCGAAAAAGAAAATAGACAGCACATTAAAAAAAAAAATTTAGTGCAATAAATGACATTGAAACAAATTTCTCAGCACCTATAAAATTAAAATCATCACTCATTAAAAGAATACAAAATCTGAACAATTAACAAAACCAATAATGAGCTAATAATATATAAATATACTTCTTTTGTACTCTTTTTAATTCCTCTATAGACTTTCCACAATAGCCCTGGTCCAGCACTGGCTATATGTTCAGTTATTTCATATTCTCTGGTAACTGGATTTCCTGGTAAGACAGTACTAAAGCTAGATACAGTCGTCTTGATTCTGTTGAATACATCCATTACTAAAAGATAAATAGTTCAATAAATGTTCATTGTCATAAACTGTCTCTGATGAACAGTATACAGTACTTGGTCAAATTGTTAGAAGCATTATAAGATTCTATGTAAAATCTTAATTATCAGGTGATACTCTATACTGCTTTATTGTTTTTATATGACTGTATAAAAACCCATGACATGTGTGTTTAACTATAAAAGTATTGCCTATAAACGTGTGATAAACATGTCATTATTAAAACACTACAGTGCGTCTCATCATTTGATCTTATTATTAGTATAATACCTGATATAATAATTATTCTAGATTTATATAATATATCGTCTCATTTGTCCAATTCTCGAATTTATATTATATATCGTCTCATTTAACCCATTGACAGACTAACATAAACAAGTGCAATAGTCTCGTAAAAACAATAAAGCTGTATAGTACAGTGTTTTCACTACAGCGCGAGAACGCGAGAATCTCGCAAATTTTTTTCTTTTCTCGCAATAAAAAATTATTATGGCGAGAATAATTCATTCTATAAATCAATTTCAAAATTCGCGAATTTCTCGCAGTTTGGAAAAAGCTTCGCATAACGCCATTTAGAATAAAATCCGTTTCGCTTTTCTTCCTGGACCTTTCATTATTTTCAACATCTGCCCCGTTATCTAGCTTCCCTATTTACTAGTATTGTTCAGAACCTTTTCGAACAACAGAACACTACCCCTCCGAATTACGGAACCCCTTCCAGAACACATTTCTCTGCAACCACATGTTTAACCATAGGTAAGGTTTCTTCATGTAAGACGTTCAAATTTTTTATGCACTAATGTAAGATGGACAAATACCTTGTAAAGGCAAAATCTTCTATGATGATTCAGCAAATATCATTGATGATACAGCAAAAATATTCAATGCTTTATAAAGTAGAAGACTTTAAAAATTTATTATAATTAAAGAAATGATTTTTTTTTCAAGTCTATTTGCGTTTTTTTTTTTTTAATTTTTAGAAATCTCACTTAACTTTTTGAAATCTCACCCTGTTTTTGAGAAAGGGTGAGAAATTCTCACAAATTTTTTTCTATGATGAAAACGGTGTAGTATCACCTGATAATTAAGATTTTACATAGAATCTTACAGTGCATCTAAAAATTTGACCAAGGACTGTACGGTTTCAAAAAAAAATATGATTGTGATTTTAATATTTATGAAGCTGAGACAAATTTTCTTAAGGTGAGATCAAGAAAAAATGATTACATAATTTTGTTAATGTGTATTGATGCATGTGTTAAAAAAGAAAGAGTGAAATGTTTGGATGGTAGGGGAAATTGATGAAAGTAAATTGGGTAAGAGCAACTATAATCGTAGAAAACTAGTGAATAGTAAATGGATGTTTGGTGGTACTGAAAAATTAGAGGCAAAAGTTTTTTTGAAGTCATAAAAACTCTCTTTGAAAGTGACTTTGCTTGAAGTTATTACCCAAAAATATAGCCTGGAACAATGTCAGCTTGCTGGTACGGTAGCGAACCGATTATCCGAAACGATCGGGACCATCGCTATTCCGGATAACTGATTTTTCCGGTTTTCTGAATCACTATAAAAAGCCGTTTTTTTAATTGTTAGACCCAACTAAAAAAAAAAATTTTGGAAATAATCTTAAAAAGAAGAAAAAACAATGAAATAATACACTATTGATTATTTCCAAAATGATGGTAAGGTAAGCATCTTTCTAAAAAGAAAGAAAAATCCTAAAATCTTATGAGGAAAAAAAAATTTTTTAAAAGGCGGGAAAATTGATGGAATTTTGTTCCGGTTTTTTGGTTTTCCGGTTTTCTGATTTCCGGATAACGGGTCCTGTACTGTAATCCTATGATTATCTGAAAAATGAAGTTTTTCTGCAATGATCTGCCAATTATTAATATTGTTGATCCGGAAACTGATCGTAATACCAATAACAGGGTGCGTACCCTGATTTTTCAACAAAAAATAAGCACTTTTTAAGTACTTTTTAAGCACTCAAAAATATTTTTAATCCAGTTTTTTTAAAAAAATCATAATTACGATCTGACAATAACAAAATTTATTTTTTTCCAATGTTTAAAGTTCTTAAACATTAAATCAAAAAAATTCAAAATTTTCCCAAACTTAACTTTACATAATCATGATAAAATAACTAGTTTCTGATAAATATTAACAGATAAAATTGTGATAAGTCCTGCATTTTTTGTAATTAAGGACGCAAATGGAAAGAAAAAATTTTATTTTAATGAAGCACTTTTTACAAACCAGGAATGAAAGAAGTACCTTTTAAGGTCGTTTAAAAAACGTAAATCAAAAATAAGCATCTTTACGCACTATTTAAAAACGCTACGCACCCTGAAAAGAATAAAGCGCATGCAGAATAAGAATTTTACAAGTAAAATGTTCATCTCTCCTTCAAAGGTATCTTCATTACTTATTTTGCCAAATTTATGTTTTTCTAAAATTATGTGGATTAGATGAGAGGGAAGCTAATCTGTTGTTGACATTATGTATAAGAGATTTGTACATCGCCAGAAAGGAAAAATTTTGTAAACTATTACCCAAATAACCGTGTGTGACATCATGATATAATATCAATAAAATTCATTGCCCGCATCTCAGTGCCCCATCATCAAGGTAAAAATTACATATATAATTGATTAAATATCTAACTGCTGTAAGAAATATTTTTGGCAAGATACAAGAAAGTAACGCACACTTTATAACAAGAGGGAAAGGAAACTGATAAATTTAAGAGTGAATTTGATAACTTGAAATAGAAACTTACCAGATTGAATTTGTTTCCAAACATACCACAACAAAAGAAAAAAAAACAAAATTAGTTTTGATTTGATACGAGCGGCTGGAGACAGGACGAGTACTATTCTAATGTCCAACTATCGATAAAGCATTTCTTCATCAATTAACAGACATTTTAATCGAACTTTAATTTGAACACAATTTATTTAAGTTCATTCATCCTGGTCATACATTTTAAATTATTACAAAACCCAAAAAAATGATTTTATTTTAATGATGCTGCTGTTGTTTATTTACGTCACACTAGAGCTTCACAGTGGGCTATTGGCGACGGTTTGAGAAACCTCCCTAAGGATGATCCGAAGACATGCCATCAAAATTTTGATCCTCTGAAGAGGGGATAGCACCCCTGCTTTGGTAGCCCGACGACCTGCGTGCGAAGTTGAGCACTTTAAGGTAGAACAGTTTAACGAGGATCAATACCGCACATCCTTGGACCCTACGCAGTCTGATCAAAGTGAGTAAAACTGGAACACAATCTTAATGAATTCAAACGTCAAATCTTAAATATGCTCATTAATGCGGACTATATTTTAATGACATAATAAACTGTGAAATAAGACACAAAACGTACTTTCTCTGAATAAAGATATCTTATTTCCGCGTCCCGCAGCGGACTGATCGTTAAGACACGGCTCCCAGCAGATCACCGAAGTCAAGCATGACTGGCTACGGTCAGTGTGCGAGTGGATGACCACTTGGATCAGTCTGCGTAGGGACCGCGAGGATGTGCGGTATTGGTCCTCGTTAAACTGTGCTACCGTAAAGAGTTCGACTTCGCGTGCAGGTCATCGGGCTACCGAAGCGGGGGTGCCATCCCCTCCGCAGAGGATCAAAATTGTGATGGCATGTCTTCGGATCATCCTCCGGGTTGTTTCCTAGACCGTCGCCAATAGTCCATTGTGCGACGTAAATTAACAACATCTTATTTCCGCAAATTCAAATCTAAAAATAATTTCATTTAAAAAGTTTATTTAATTATTATTTATTTTATCAAAAAGTATACCTTTTGATTAAATAATTAAAGATTGATAATAATTAATAAAAGTATACTTTTCGACTATAATCGAAGTAATTTTTAATTGTAATGTATACAAATTTTTACACTATTTTAAAGTACGTAATTTTCAGATGCAAAATTTGAACGAAGTCGATTGAATTGTTTTCGAGTTAACAAATTATAAGCTTGATTTCTCGTGAACTATTCCACCAATTTCGTTTAAATTTTTGTATTTTGTCACTAGAAATTACATACTTAAAAATGTAATACTTTACGTTTCAAATTCCCTTCACTAGATGAAATAAATCATAATAATTATTATTTTACATGGAATTATGTAAGGATTTTATAAATTATATAGAATTTTATAATTATAGGCTGAAACTTTTTGATCCGCTAAGAAATTTCCAGAGATAAAGTGATGTACGTAAAATGCGAAATTATCTTGAAGGGGTCAAAACTTTTTATCGCTCTCCTGTACAAATTTAATACCATATTAAGTACCATATTTTAAACATTGCACCTACCCCTCTCCCACTTGTCAAGGGTCAAAACATCAAATCTGCCGAAAAATATTTAAAAAAAACTATGTTTATTGTAAGAAAGTACTTTTTTATGTCTGATTTCATATCTTAAAATATCGTCAGCATTATTCATTGACATATAAAGTCCTCGAACTGTTGATTGAGTATGTGAAAATCCGTTCGTTAGATTAAATCAAGAGTTATTTTGAGCGTTCGCTTTTTATTTTGAGCACGGTATATATCAAGCTAGGAACATGTAATTGGTTTGAAATATATATAAACTAAACTCAGTGGCGTGACAGTTCATAGAGGGCCACGGCATAGTGTGCCCATCTCAGTTTTCCTGACCTTGGGCTCTGGGGTGCAGGAACAGATGTTCCGGTCAGGTGGTCAGCCGAACGTAGAACCCCCAGTGTTTAGTTCCCAAGCATGCTTGGTACTCATTTATCGACCCACTGAAGGGATGAAAGGCTGAGTCAACCTTGCCCGGCCCGAGGATCGAACCAGGGACCTGTGGCACGACAGCGCGAAGCGCTACCGCTCAGCCACAGGGCGTCTTGAAATATATATATATCAATCAAAGAACCTCTCTTCTATAAGCCCTCCCACCCCACTTTTCTGCGACAGAAGTTGCCACAAAGAAGGACAAATTAAAAGTTTCAAGCTTGTCTTATCATAAGTATATAGAGGAATTGTATTCTTCACTAAAAAGGGGGATAAGTACTGGGAGGGGAGCAGTTTAGTGGCACCAAAGATGTTTCAGCGAGGAAAAAGGTGCTTTGGTACGTTTGTGTGCAAAATCAATGCGCAACTTTTTTTTCCCTTTCCGCAAGATCAAAATAAATATAACACAATAGCAATTAAGTCTAAACCATGAACTCGTGTGAGAACTTATAAGCGAATTAAATTGTGGAGAGAAAAAAAAATGTTTTCAGGTGCCCTGCGCACGTGCTTAGTTTGTTTATTGGTTAATCCGGCATTGGGGATACCTGCAGGTCACATTCTGTGGGTATCTCGATCCTGATTGGTTGTTGAAACGTTGGCATTTGTTTATGTACTTCCATTCTATATCGAGTAATCCAAACCTATCTAGCACTAATTCTCTTAAATAACACAGCCTATATTCTTTCATAAAGAATATAGGCACGGAGTGAAAATGAATCGTGGTTACAATAAAATTCATAACCAAATAATAAATCTAAGTTAAGTCAATGATAGATAGGTATTTTATTTAAGTCTAATTAGAGCTGCACAACGGGCTATTGGAGATGGTTTGGGAGACAACCCTAAGAATAATCCGAAGACATGCCATCGCAGTTTTGATCCTCTGCAAAGGGGATGACTCCCCTGTCTTGGTAGCCCAACAACCTGTGCGCGAATACGAGCACTTAAAAGTAGAACAGTTTAAAGAGGACTGATACAGCACACCCTCTGTCCCAACGCAGTTTGATCAAAGTGGTCGCCCACCCGCTTGATGACCGCAGCCAGCGATGCTAGATTTCGATGTTATACTAGGATTGAGTAAAAGAAGTAGACCAGAAAGAATTATATTTCATCAAATTCAATGTACTATACGGCTGCGTATTTAATTAACTTAACGTTAATCTACATTTTGAGTTATGTGGAGAAACATAGCTCATTTTTAATACTCCATATTTCTGATAAAGATTAGCTGGTCCCGACGTCATAAATCACATGCTTTGGTATTGGTTATCTTCTACTTGGAGTGCAAGTACCTAATTATTAGTAGCGGCTACAGAGTTTAACAATATAAATGTATCCATAGAGACCTACATTTTGTTAATTTTGATGTATGCTTTTTTGAAGAAATAAGTAGTCGGAAACGTGAAAGATAAGTTAAAGTAAATAAACAATCAAAGTACCTTGACCGTTCATTGTATGTATTTTGATTACCAGAAAATGATTAAGATATATTCGCCCTTCTAATAAGTAATAAAAATTGTCATAAACACAACTTGGTTGTAAAAATTTACTGCTCTGCTCGATAAAAAGTATTTTTCACATTTATTTGAGTTTTTTGGTCTTTTTAAGTCTAGAAGGAGATAACATCTACGTTCCTTAGGATGACCAAAAAATTAACCTAAAATAATTTATTTTATTCAAAAATTATTATATTTTGTTCATATTTCTTTGAAATATTTACTTGTTTTTAAAAACGTGTACCTAAAATTCGCACTGCTTTGTTAAGTAAAATAACTTTTCTCAATAAAGTTTTTTAGTAAAAATGAACTTTAGATGCTGTTTAAGATTAAAAACGTTGTAAAATATTAATTCTAAAATCTTTAAACTTTTTGGTAAGCCAATTTTTGTTTGTTTCGCCGTTTTAGAGTCATTATTCTAGCGTTAGTTGTCTATGTAGTTAAAAAAAAAATTATCGCATGTATATTTCTGATTCTAGTACTATGAGAATAACAGTAAAAGAAGTAGACCAGAACGAATTATATTTCGTCGAATTTGTTGTATTATACGGCTGTGTGTGTCAACAATCGACGGGGTTTTAACTTTTAGAAACAAATATGTAGTGGTTTGTACATTCAAACTGCATTAAAAGTACTCTTAAAGAATGGTTGAAAAGATAAGAACAATTGAAGGAAAATCAACTTCATTGAGAGGAATAAAATATTAATATTTGAAAAAAATATATAAACACCACCTGACAGGCTATGTTTCAATTTAAATTATAAATGTTTTCATTAAAAAAAATTCTTTTCCTTATTTAATATTTTTTTATTGTTAGGGATTCTCATCTTTTTTAATGTTATCTTCATCTGAATATCTGTACTGTTAACTCTTAAAATCAAATGAAAAAAAAAGAGAAAATTCATGAAAGATCAATTTGTTGTCCACTTAGTTTTTTTTAATATTTTATTTGTGACACTTATTTTGGCATAATATATGTCAACTGTGATACTGGTAACAATAATTAAATATTAAGTATGTTAAACATCTTTATTGGCAGAATAATAATGTCATCTCCCTTTAAAAGAATAAGTACTAAAATACAAACATAATTTAAAATGCTATATTCATATAACTAATAACAAAACATTGTATAAATATTGACTTTAATTATCATTTATTTACTGTTATTTTATTAATTAAGTAGCTGAATATACGTTCTTCACATGGGGAAATCAGTACTGAACAACGATCCTGCACAAAACGTCAAAAACATTGACACAAACAATAAAACTAAAGTTATTTCAATGTTGTTTGTTGCACTTCTGAATGATTACTAAGCAAAACTTGTTATCACGTTTGTATTCAGTATTATCTGACATAACGCTGTTGCTCGAGGCAGCTCACATAATATTTACCACAGTCAAGCTCCTGTAATTCAAGATGAATATAGGTGATACTAGTAATACTTAATAATCTACTGTAGATATTTCATGTAGCTACTTAACAAGTAGATTTTTCACACCAACTAGTGACGGAATAGCTCCAAATATATTTTTTAATTCAGTGCTGGTGGTGGAATGAAAAGCTTTAAATTTTTTTTAACCCTTTGACGGTTAGGGAAATTAACAGTTTTTGTTTACTTAATTCGCACACTATTAGGAGTAAACAGTAGGCGAAAGTGGCAGCTGTTTTCCCTGCTGTTCTTCTGAAAATGTCACCCTTCTCTGGCGATGCCGTAGATAGCTCGCCTCACACGTTTTAAA